TACTAAATATTTATATATTAGAATAAAATACGCAAATCCTTTTATACGTAGTACTATCACATTATTTAATATATAATATTATAACATTTTGCTTTGAAATTTCAACCATTAATTTTCTGTTGTGTAACATCTCTTTCATCTTGCAACTTGCTCTAATATATAATGAGCAACGCAATAAATCTTTAAATGTTATTACTCACAAAATGTGACTTATATGTCACAACTTAGGCTTCGTTTGGGACAGTTTTTTATTACTTTCTAAAACGAAATTTTAGTACAAAAATAAAAAAACTTGTACTAAGACTCCATTTTAGAAAGCAATAAAAAAGCCGTCCCAAACGAAGCCTTAGTCTTCATTTGGGACAGCTTTTTTAATGTTTCTTAAAACAACTTTCTAGCATAAAAATTAAAATTTTTATGCTAAAAAGTTGCTTTAAGAAGCAGTAAGAAAGCTGTCTGAAACAAAGCCTTAATCTAGTTTTGAAAATATAATATGATTATTTTTATTCTTTTTTTTATATTTTTGATCATATAGTCTCTTTGGTCTTTATGGTGCTAGAACCTTTTCCATACTTCTCAGCAATTATACGCCTTTTACCTTCCCCGTTATTCCATGCATCAATCTAACACTTCCTACATGAATGCTCAAATATTTGATACTTCTCTCCTCACTAAGACAAATGAAACAATCATACTCTCTACTCCCAAGCTCTTGATGAAAAACATCAAATAAGTTATTAGATTATCCCTCTCCAATGACAACTATCCATTGTAGTGATCTCATATAATCAAGTTATTCAAACCAGATGAATTTGGTTGCTTTCTTGATGACTTCTTCTTCTGTCCGTTGAAAACATTGTAGATGACATTGACTAATTACTTCCCAACGCATAATACATTGCCTAGTAACTCACCTCACTGTAGTTTTTCTCTCTACTATCATAACATCCATCCATCCCTATATCCTCAACCTTGACTCTTTCTATAACATTTAGGGAACTATCAAAAACCGAGTATCCTCCACAAATTGCTCTAGAATCATCTAGTTGAAAATTGAGCTTCAACATATCTCCATGAAGAAATAAACCACGATGCAGCATCTCTTAAAAATCAAAGCTCTTGTGGAAAATATAGTCATTATCAGATCACAACTCGACAACGAGGATATAATCATCTACATTCTTAATGATATATCACCCACCTACCAAGCCTTTGTAATCTTAATATGCTCCAAACTCACTCTAGCTTGCCTAGATGATATCTATATTCCATTTTATGTTGCAAAAAAATAAACATTACAACTAAGAACGCCAAAGAACAAGCTTAAGTTGACCTGCATCTTACTCAACACATCATGAGGTAGGGGAAATGATGACATCTCCCATGGAAGGGGACATGTACAAATTGAATTATATATAAAGAATGGGAGGTTGTTAATTTTTGTGAACATATCTGCATAAACATTTGACAGTTTTACATTAGTTTGGCGATCATTAATAGTTAAACATGTTAACACTTTGATCTCAGGCTAATTCGATTTTGCAACTAAAGCTTAGTTTATAGTCATTTAGGTTTTGTTTGGGACTACTTTCTTATTGCTTTTTAAAACCGTTTTCTAATGCATAAATTTTAATTTTTATACAAAAAAACAACTTTAAGAAATAGTAAGAAAGCCACCCCAAATGAAACCTTAATTTGATATGGAGTCGAGCTGCACCAAACAAAGTAAAGCTGTGTCACGTCGAGCCAAATCAAGCTAAGTCGAACAGATTAAAATAAGCTAAATCTAAGCCAACCTAATCAAGCTAATCTGAGTTAACCTAAGCCAAGTCAAGTTAAGGTGAGCCAAGCCAAGCTACACATTGCGAAATAAAGCCTAGCCAAATTAAGCTAATGCGACTCAATAATAGATCTAAAATTTGAAGAGACAAATTCAAAGTTGATCTCAGCCTTTGTTCTTCCTCTGGGCCACATCCTGCTCCCTGCACTTATCACTTACAACTGCAAAAGGCAATCTTACTATTTCTCTTCCAATTCAGCTCACCAATCTTCTGTGTCTTTATACTCAACAAGAACTAACCAGATTTTTCTTTTTTTTGTTGCAGATTATCATATTTGTCAAGACATTATTGTCTATTCTGAAATTATATGAAATAGTAAGGAGTCTCCATTATTATCTAGCTTTTCAATCATATGTGAAAGCATCTTTTGATAAGAAAAAAATAAAAAAAAAATTATTTGAGAGTCCTATTTGGAGGAAGGGTGCTACTGGATCTTGAATCTTTGTTCTATATGTACTGGGAAAAAAAATAGATGTTTTGATCATAAAATTTTGAATTTATTTTAAAATAAGTGTTATACATAAATAAATAATTAATATTTATATAGCTTGTTCTTTTTAAATAAATATAAATTTTTTGAAATTTATTCTAATTGTATTCTGATTAGAATATCTTTAAATAATTATTTCTAAATTTGTTTATTTGGATGAATAAAATATTGTTGGATTTATTTTGAGATAAAATTATCCATTCATTAGCAAAAATGATGTTGTTAAGCAATTTATGTTGTTAATCTCTACCATATATGATGGATAATTGTGCATGGGGTATGAGTCATGGAAGAGTGGCTTGATTATATAAGCAATATGCTTAGTAATGATCATGTCTATAGTGTTGCAAAGAGATATAGGATGAAGCCATTTTATGCTTCAATGTGAGCATCTTTTGAAATTAAAATCACAGTAGAATGCTCGACATAGTTTGGAAACTTTGAAGAAGAAAAATAATATGATAGCATAAATAAACGAGGAGCCTCTGATGCACCTAGAAAATTTTTCCTGTAAAGATATATAGTCTTAGAATTTTATCAACCCTAATGCTGAAAATATCCTGTTTAATTTTTGTATCATTGGATAATTAGGAGATTCTCAAGCATTGCATTATCCATGGGAAAGCAAAAGAAGGAATGAGGGGGAGCACTTTACAATTACTATAAGTTGTAAAATGATAGATGACTTCAATAACAACATCATCTTAGGAGTATCAGGAGCCATTGGTTGAGATTTCTTTAATATAACTTTGATTCCATCTATTTTGTTATTCTTTCATATAGGAATTTAATATTATCTTCTCTTCTAAATAACAATGCACATTTGATCATGTTCTTAATCTATTTGAACTTGATCCATTTGACATCATCCTACGTTGCCCTTTTAATTTTAATCTTCCTTGAGCGAGATGATAGTGTTAAAATTGCGGGCAAAAGAGTAGAAATAGTACCCTTTAAAGCAATCTTCATATTGTTTAGCCTATTATAGAAGAAGATTGGATCACCAGCAACAACAAGATTCCCAGCCTCATGAATGATGTCATAGATATTATAATAATGTTTCAAAGTATTTTTATACATAAAGTTGTGCTTAAGGGTTCCTAAAGTTCCCGTCCTGATAATTGAAGGGGAGTGATATGATATTAGATGTCAAAGTACTTTGAAACATGAGAGGGGAAGTGTTGCGCCCAATAATTATTACAAATTACTCTATCTAGCAAGCATTTAACCTAATTTTTTTATTTAACTAGCTAAATGATAAGCTACTATTAGGAAGCTCCAAGAGTCCAAAGCTGAATATATATGAATTAAAACAAGTTTTACAAGAAAGAGGAGATCCACCAAAATTTTCTTCAACCATTCTAATACATTTGAAATAACTCTAAATATTTATGGAATATTAAATAATTCTCTATATTTCTAAGATTGTTATCACCTAAATTTTGGATTTAAGGCTAGCTAATAGTTTCCCATTTACTATCTCATAAGTCCTTACTTTATAGGCATTTTCTTAATCTTATTGTTATAAAATATAAGTATTAAATTTGTAATAACATGAATAACTCAAATAATAAAATAAAAAATTTCAAAACTTTAAGCCTAACATAAGATGGTTTGGAGTACTATGTTTCTCAAAATCCATTGCTATACTCTTCTTTCTTTGGCTTCAAAAAAAGAATTGTTTGAAATCAAACTAATTATTTTTTAAATTCCAAAAGAACATCCTTGTCTAAACTTAAAAATTATTAAAATGTTTGTCACTATTTTAATAAAAAAATTATAAAATATTACTTTTTTTTTATGATGTAATTAATCAAAAGAGCCTGTCATTACGAAAAATCTATATTCCAAAGTAAAGAAAATCTATCTCATCTATATTAGATAGAAAGAAAGTTTCTATTTTATTTATCTAATATGTTAAAATAACATCTTAATAGATGGTGATATATTAAATTAAATATTACTTAAAATTTAATATTTTTAATATAAAGACAATAGAAATCATCTATTTCTTCATCGTATTTAATTAATGATTAAATTTATTTTTAAAAATAAAATGTGAAAAAACTCACAAACAATGTAATTTAAAAAACTTAATCAAAATAATCATAAAAATTTAATAAAATAAAAATTAAATTATTTTTAAATTATAAATCAATATTAATAAATTATTTGATCTTATATAGAAGATTAGTAATAAAAAATTGAAATGATGTTATATTTGGAAATATAAATGAAAATATTTTGAAGCTATAAAATAACATTAAAAACTTTTAATTTTTTATTTGGAAATATAAATTAAAAATAAATAAATTAATGTTATATTTGAAATATGTAAAATACAAATAAAAGGACAGAATCTATCAAAAAAATGATTGAGAGGTGTCTTATCAAGCCCATCATATCTGAGCATACTATTCTCATCTGCCACCTCATTTTAATTAGGTCAATTGTCTTTGAAAAGAATCGTTTGACATAACTTTTTCCAACTCACTTTTTTAATAAATAAATTCCTTTCAAAGAACTTGTCAAGAAATTTTTCTTTATATTTTAATTTACAGCTTTTATATAATATCTAAATTTTATATTTGTTTAACTTAAATTATTGGAAAGCACACAATTTATAATGAAAATTGCATTTACAAACATATTTACAAAACAAAGCACAATAGTAGGAGAAAGCCTTGAGTCTGTATCGGAAGAACCGTCTGTATATATGAAGGTACATATTGTGTACATTGATATGATATACATTATGAACAAATATATACACAGTTTGTATCCTCACATAACTAAACGGTGCTTCATGTCTGGACCCACAGAAGAATTTCTCTAAAAATAAACTCCTCAAATGGGAGAAATTATTATGTGCAGAGATCAGACGCAAAATGTCGTCCGGTGACAAACCAAAATGTACTACGTCAGCGGTATCAAACCATGGTACCGAGCGGTACCGCATAGTACCAAGCTACAGTACCGAGCGAAGATATAATGTGACACATTCTAGTTGATCTTCAGACGGAATTCGATGTCCGCACAGAATAATTAATCCTCGAACGGATGGTGATAGTGTTGATAAAACTAGCATAATACCAACTAATAAAACTATTATTCAAAATAACACTCTTTTAAGTACTACTAAAAAAACCTATGAAAAAAAAAAAAACAATAAACCATTGATTCCATTTTCCTTGAAGACCAACAAAACCAGCAGAAACACCTCAATTCTTCTCGAAGAGTCCAAGTCTATTATCAACAAGCTTCGTCTTGTACGCCGTAGTCTTATACTCACACCAAGTGAACTCTCTATACAGACTCTCTTCACCTTCCTCCATCAACAGCGGCAAAGGAGCTACTCTCTCCTTCAATGGCGGCCCACCGAAGAAGATCATAGACAATCTTGACTGTACACTATTCGCCAAAACTCGATGTTTAACGCTCCTAAACCTCCCATTCGTCAGCACCTGTAGTAGAATCCATTAAAGGAAAGAATGGATCTTTCAGATTCTTAAACAGTAAAAAAGATTGCAACTTTTTTATGAGGGAAAATTGGATTGCAACTTTTTCGCTGAATAGGAAACAGAGGATGTATTGGTTACCTGTAAAGAATCTCCGACATTTACGAAAAAGGAGCTTTGGTCGGGAGGGACAGGGACCCATCTCCCATCTCTGAGCGAAATCTGAAGGCCTGAAGTGTTGTTTGATCGGAGAATTGAGATTACCTGTGGATCTGTGTGCTCGCCGAAGCCGGTGACGGAGATGTTGTTGCGCTGTTGAGAAGATGGGCACGGGGGGTAGTGATTCAGCCTGAGCATTAGATCGCTTTCTTCATCCATTAGAAGCTTGCTTAAGATATTCCTTGGCTGGAGCCCGAGGCCTTCAGCCATGAGCTCGAGAAGCTCGCAAGATAGGTTTTTTATAGTTGATATGTAGTCGCTTAAAGCAGAGCTGAAACATAAAGGTAAAAGATTCGATTTTTATGCACCTTTTGATGATAATAAGAGATTTTCCATATAAAAAAAAAAGATGAAACTTAAATTACTTAGCGGAAATTTAAAATATGATAGATGTGACTAATAAATAAAATTTAAATTATGTTTATAAAAATATTATTGAAATATATCAGTGATAAGAACAACTGACACATATTTTAATATTGTCACATCTATCAAATAAATTTGCATAAAAATTACATAAAATCTAGTTTTTAGATTAATCAATCACAAGAGTGTCATTAAGTAGATTTTTCTTTATGGGAGTGTAACACTTTCAGTCATTAAATCATTACAGATGTCATCAAATAAAAAAATATATATAATACTTCTCGAGATTCATGGTAGGATTTCCAACTCACCGAAAAGAGCTCGAGAGAGCTGGGTTAATGGAGTTAGCTTGCATCAGCAGATACTCAATCCAGCCAAAATCCCAAGTGCCAATCTTCCGGCTACCGTAGCCGAACGGCGCGGCGGAGCCGGCGGCATCTTTCTTCCAAATCGGAAGCGAAAAGAACTTCACTGCCTCGCACTCAAGCCTATCTATGAGCTCAAAGGAGATGCCATGGTTAGTGAGTTTGAAGAAACCGAGCTCCTCACAGGCTGCTACAACCTGAGCCGCGGCGGCGGGAGAGGTTAGGTCGACGAGGGGGACGTCGCCGGCGAAGTTGCCGGAGACTGGGCGGTGAAGCTTTGTAATGGGGAGTTGCTCGACTGCTGAGAGCTTGGTGATTACTACCATGGCTGTTTAGGATAGAAACAGGGGAGGAGGTTAAGAGAAACAGGGGCAGTGGAAGCAGAGTGGAGAGAGTCTGTGTGAGGAAAGAAGGAAAGACCGCCTGCCTATATATAAGCCGGTTGTAGGGAACATGGAGATTCGCGCTACGCTTTTTTGCATGTACATCCTAAAAATATCTTTATTTTACTTTTTAATCTTTTTATTTTTTTTTATATTTCATGCAGGTCATGAACATAAAACAATTATTAAAATTTTAAAGGAAATTTGGGATTATATATTTAATATTTGATATTTAAGTTATTTTATATATGAATATCCCTCTAATTAAAATGCTAATATTATAAAAAAGGTAAATTAAAAGGAAGGAATGATTTATTTGATTAGACAAAAAAAAATGCAAAGTAAGGGCACTCAAAATGGCAGAGCATTTTACATGACCAAATGATTTTTTTTGCTCCAAATAAGTACACTTTGAGTTCAAAATAATTTATATTTATTTTTTTAATAATTAATTAATGCGCACTTGATGCATATGCAAATAATTAATTCATTTGGAGGAAAAATTATTGCACACGGAGTCTAGATGTGTACAAGAGCCAATTCGAATGCGCTACATTACTCGATACATAGTGCATTGGATGATGTGGAGCATCTAGATTCCGCATGTAATAATCTTTGCATTTGAAGAGTGTGTAATGAAAAATTAGTGCCTCTTTTAGAAGGTTGCATCATTCAATAAAGTTAGTTATGAAATTGTTACATAAAAAAATTAGTTATTTTTTCATAAAAAATAAATTTTCAACACATAAATTTATAAAATATAATGTAAAATCATTAAGAAAATAATAACTAAATGAAATTATGTTTGCTGTCTAAAAATCAAAATAAACGAAAAAGTTGTCTCAAACATACTTTTAATGTTGATGTAGGTTTCGTTCGGGACAACTTTCTTACTTCTTTCGAAAGCAAATTCCTTGTATAAAATTTTTTATTTTATAAAATTTTTATACTAGCTAATTTAGAAAGCGGGAAAAAAATTATCTCAAATGAAGCCTTAGGCATCATTCATAATTTATTTCTTACTATTTTTTAAAGTATTTTTTTAGTATAAAATTTTATTGAATGAGATAATTTTATTAAAAAAAATATTTTTGAAAACAATAACAAAGTTGTCTACTCTTGATGCAACTAAGGGCCCTTTTGTAATAAAATTATAAAATTTATGGCCAACTTCAATTTGATGCTAAGAAATATTTCCCCAAAAAAAAAAAATGCTAAGTAACTAAGAAGCCATTATAAATTTATAATTGACAAAATTTTAAATTTATAATATTTTAATTGCGTCGGCACGAGACTTTCCACTTTTGGAAAAAAAAAGAGATAAATATTATAATATTTTAATTGATCTTGAACTGATCTGATAGACCAGCTTTGCTCCACATCAAATCAAAATAAACAGAGCTACCATTTGATTATATTATTATTATTTACGGGTGCAACATTTTCCAACCACTGATCCGCCTTTACTCCCTCTTTATTAAAAAATAAAAAATAAAAAAATAATGAATTTAAATCATTTATTTTACTATATATCACTCGTGATTTTATTAAGCAAAAAATTATGAAATACATGATCAAAATTATAATTTTAAAGATATAATATTCTCTTTTAATCAATAATTGATAAATCATTTAAAAAACTTTATTTATGATGGTATGTTTTGTAAGATAGATCTTCTTTTTTGAAAAATTGATAATCATAATTAAAATATAATGAAAAAATACAAAGAAGATCTATGTGAGAAAGTAATAAAAAGATGCTAGGGTATAAAACTATAAAGCATAAAATAAAAAAAGTTTAAATATGCAGTATAATGAATAATAGAAGAGAGAGAGAGAAAGAGAGAGAGAGATGTTGGATTCAAATTTGTTAGTGTGCAAAATCTTATCCAACTAATAGGTTAGAATAAGATAACCAACTGAGAAAATTAGATAGCATGGAGAGTAAGAATGAAACAAAGAGATCTCCACAAATAGTAGAAATAACATGAAAATAGATATTATATGTGGCCATTTTCCCTCTAATATGACCACCCTCTGCCTCTATTTGTGCCCTGTAGTGAGTATCTTGGGTGAATATTCAAGGGTGAGTCTTTGAATGCTAGAATTTAGGGCATGCTTGTGGAGGCAAATCCCTATGGATGAGTGGTGAGTTCCTTGAGATAAACAACAAGTCCCTAGTCAATCTTGATTATGATCTAGGGAAGATCATGGCCGATGAAATCATAATCATGGGCTTTTTAGGTGCATGCTTCCTGTAGCTTTAATCGAGCAATCGAAGGAAGGAAGATGACCATGGTCATAGATAATTACTATGGGGGAGTGAGAGCTCACCTAGGTGAGTGCCTGTTAGGGTGAAAGCTTGTATGGGCTTCTTTATGACGACCATGGGCGGACCCCCATTGACTTGAGGGGGGCAAATGCCCCCCCTAAAAAAAAAAAATTATTTTAGAGGGATTGTTTGGAATATTTTGGGTATTTTTGGCATTTTGCCCCCTCTCAAAAAAAAATTTTGCCCTCATTTTATAAATCCTAAGCATCTTTACCCATCCTCTACAAAAAAAAAATATTTTTGCCCACCCTGAAAAAAGAAGCTGGATCCGCCTCTGATGACGACGCTCTAGGCATGAACACATCTTTAGTTTGGCCATCTAGGGATGAGCTTGTATACTACGACCTAACTCTACTATGGCGAATTCCTCTTTACTTGTGAATTAGTCCTTGATGTGAAGTTTCCTCAAGTTAAGCATTATCCTGAGTGTGTGTCCTCGATCTCTGGTTAAGCCCTTTGACAGAAAGTTATTTAGATAACTACAAGTTACCTACATGATGATATATGGATATATATTTAGTTCCGCAATTCACTTGCTCCTTTCAGATGTGACTTGTGAAAAAGGATAAAGGAATTTAAGAATAAGATCTTTTACTATCATCATCAAACGTTAAAAGGGAGAGCAAATGAGAATTAATATCTTATTATATTATTACCAATATTAGAGTGTCGTGTTTTCATATTCTCATCATGACATTTATTTCACCCTTATATTATGCACAAATACAAATGGTGATTAGTGACTATGGTGTAGCTTTTCTCCTTCTTTTTTGCTTTAAGTATTTTTTCTAACCAGCTTGAGAGATGGATGCCTTAATTCCTTAAATATGATGATATAGATAGCATAAAGCTATGAAAAGCTCATCCCCATAATTATAAGATGAAGGAAGTTGAGGTGAAGAAGTCAGTAAATAAGCTAAGAATAAGAATAAGGTAATCAAGGTTGGGCTAAGCTAATCACCTAAGGAGGATTCGAGTCAAGTTGTAGAAGTGGAACCGAGCAATACAGTAAAGCATAGCCCAAGATGGTTGTAGAAGTTGAATCAAGCAAGGCTAAAGGAATTGAGCAAGGCGGTGACAATCAAGCAAAGCAAGCCAAGAGTCATCCTTTGATTAATCTCTTATGACATGCCCCTCTTCAAAAGACATGTCAAGCAAATCTTCACATTGCAAGGAGCTTATTAGGTGGTGATTGAAGTGGATGTTATTTATGAGGTGGTGACTTCTTCTCCAAAGGTCACACTTATTCATTCTTTGGTGGAACACCCTATACTATAGAAGGTTGAGTAATCATCAAGGACTAGCAGAGGTAAGAAGAGTCTTTTATTAGCAGGTTATGTATAGGGGCTAGGTGTCATCAGCCTCAAGCGAGCTAAAGGTTCACCTAATGAATAAGTTAATGGCATTGGCATTATCATAATGGGAACTTGGTTAATACACAAGGATAGTGTATGTAACATCAAAAAATCACTATTTGAACAAATTATTAACTTCTATTCTCTTAATTTATTTTTCAATCACTAAATATCTATCATTTTAAATAAATCCAAAAATAATAACTATAAATTATATACATTAAAATATTTATATATTTATTCTTTTAAAATATAATGTATAATAACAAAGAAATTTCAATAATATCAAAATATCTCTTTTAAAGCTTCCAACTATAAATGAAAAGAATAAAATATAGAAATAAAAAAAATATTATGGTGAAGATGGTTTATAAATTAGATTTATAATAACTCCTAAAATATTATTTGACTATATCAAAATAGACTAGTACGTATAGTGTATCTCTATGAGAAGCTGCTCAAGATCCCCCTTAGTTATTAGATGAAGAACTATTTCTTCTTGAATCTTCATATTATATGGCATAGGCACTTTGTTGGTGTCGTACATGATAAACTATCTTATGTTGACCTTTATGGTAGCTCATTATATAATGAAGGCTATTGAGCTTTTAGAGGTTGAGTATTTAAAGAAGCAGGTGCATTCTTCCCCAATCCAAAAACTCCTCATTGCTCCATCTGGCAATTTTAATGTTATATTAGTCACCATATCCACTGACTTGTGAGGAGGCCGAGATCCCCAATCTAATGCCATTTTCCTTGGAGGCTCTTATACTGGATGAGTTAGTACCTTAGAGGAGGAACTTGATAGTGTACGATTCAAGCATGAGAGAAGGATTGTAGCCCTAGAGAAAGTGATTTCGGTGAGTGACCATGCTGTATAAAGAGGCGTTATAGTTGAGAGCTAAGGTGATGGTGACTCAAATTCCCCTAGTGTTATCATAGTTAAGTTAGTTCTTGACAGTTGGTTGCTTTATCCTGTGATATCTTATTGAGAAATGAATGGTACCTCTATACCTCTTATTAAATCTAGTGTATATGTTATTTATGGGGAGTGAGTACGTTTGTTCATAAATAATGTAATTTATGATAACACTATATATGTAAGAAAATGTTAAGCAATAAAAGCTTTTTAGGCAATGCATATTATTCTTCACTGTGATTATAACTTAGAATTTCCTACTTTATTTTTCAACTTATTTCCTTTGTGAAGACAATTTAACTAGTGATTGTGAAGAAAATTTGTTTATTTACCTCATCACTTAAGTGAAACTCTTTCATTTTGATTAAGGGCAACTCTATGTAAGGCAAGTGAGAGGAAAGATAATGGAA